CGTCTTCAAAAAAGTTAATAAATTTTAAAAAATTTTAAATTCACTACGTAATTTATTCTATTAAAATAGTTTAAATTATTTAGTTAAGTAACTAAGTAATGCCACTAAGTCACAAAGCCAAAACATTTTGAGATTCAAAACTCAAGCGATTGTCTTGATGTTTTTTGGCCTATCAGCTGAGCAGATGGGAGATCGGTCGACACATTCTCTCATAAATGGGACCTTATGTTGGTGCTAAAAACTGCCTTTTTTGTAATATTTCTTTTTGATTGAAAAATGATTATATAAGAAGAGTTCTCATTCACCCCTGGACCTCGATAAAATATCTGCGAAGTTGCATTGACATACCACTTTTACCAAAAAGAAAGTCCAATTTTTCAACCAGTGTGAAGGAGTGAGGAAAACTAACGCCTTGGGTATTTTTTTTGCTGCTTACAGTTTGTGGATCAAATACAGGGAAAAGTTGGTTGCATGAAATGCTATTAAGCTTTCTTCAAAGACTCAACATGATTTTTTTATCTAATTTTGTCTTAATGCAAAATACGAGCAGTTAATTGATTTTTTTTTTGTTACAGGAAGTTTTTTTCCTTCTGAAAAAATACGTGCTACTTGGAAACGGAAAGGATATTTGTGATGAACTAGAAACGAAAAACAGAAAAACCGTACAATCTCTCCCCCCAATAGTGCACTACCCTAAATGACACTTATTTTGCTGAAACAAGACAGAAAGTTCAACAGATGATTTTTCTATTTCTTCGGGTTTTAAACGAAACAATGCTTTGTTGAAAGGTTCAAACCCTTGTTTGAACTGATGCCTCATATGTACACTATCTATTTGATCATTAAAATGACTCAAAAGTTTTAAGTAGTGGAAGTAAATAATCAAAGTATTAACTTAATGAAAACGATGGCAAATTTTTTTGATGGCGCAATTTTTTTGAAATCGATTAAACTTTTTTGTGGGTTCAAGGCTTACGCAAATAAAAATAAGAGCTTCAGTTTTTGTTTGATAACTTGATAAATCGTATGTTTTCATCTGACTGATTGATCTCAAATAAACTTTTTTAAGCACAAGTGATCAGTTTTAACAAGAAAGGTTCAATTGGACTGTTTTTGATGATTTGTCTTGTCTGATTCATGCTTGATTTCGCATGTTTTAGGATGGTTAAGACTCAGTCATGAAACAGTTTTTAATCAGCAACACTTCGTTTTTATTGAATTTGATGCCCTGATGGTTTAATCACATCAATTGTACAAAGTAACGGCAAATGAAACACAAAAAAAAATGAATGCAAAAAATTTTCTGCTGATGTGATTGTGTACAATACAATTGATGTGATAGTACGCACCATCAGGGCAACAAATAAAAAAAATTAAGTGTTGCTGATGAAAAACAGTCTGATGTCTGAAGCTTAAATATACTAAAATATGCAAAAACATGCATGAG